ACAATACAGGACCAGACTTTGACAATCTTCACCATTGGAAATCCATACACATCCGTATTGTGCACGCAATTGCTCTGGTGCCATATCCATACACTGGACGAGATAGTGCTCTCTAAATGACACTCGTGAAATATCAATATTTCACACACAGATGTACGGTTCACATCATAGTACTATCGAAATAATGGTGTTGCCGACATTTGTTAGGGGTTGTACAATCCCGTACTTCATATAATTGGGCCACTAGACTTAAATCCAGCCCCTTCAAATAATGGCACTTCAGAGAAAGACATGTTGATGTAGGAACACCATTCGGCACATAACGGTAATAATCTTCAAAAGATGGAACAATGAACAGGTCCACGCGGTTCACACCATAGTAGGCTTCATATAAAACTATTACGGAAACGGTTATACCCTCCATGATTTAACTCTCTGCATAAGATAAGACATTATGCCGTATGTCTTATCCGCTTGAACATACCTTACTCGACAGTACTGATGTAAGCTTGTGACACTCGGAATAAGAATGTACCAGGCATCTTAACCCTTTGCGGATATGAGTACGGCATATACTCAAGTACTCTTCAAAGAATGATACTTCGAGTCATCAATACTCCTATACAACTGTGCACTTCAAATGAAGGTATTATCCAGACAACAGTATTGTTAATATAACGCTATTACTTGTAGACGCGTACTCTCCAAAGGATAGTACCACAGATATAGTCGTACTAATGAAGGCACATAACTGCAGATACAGTGGTACCACGTAGCATAATAGCACTCCTGGAAGATCAATACTCAACACAAGCAAGTATTTTCAACATCATCAAACTCCCGCAGTAGCAATACTTTTTAAGTAATAGTATTACAGATGGGACCTAGGAGCTCAGCAATCCTGCACGTGATGTAATGAAATCATTAGACGTACATCAAAACACTTGACATCCTGATAACCCAAGGATATGCTTATTCATCGAGTTACACCGCTCCCCACATAACAGTAGTCCTCTCCAATTAACAGTGCACTTCACACATTAACATCCTCGACGCAGAGGTATTCTTCACATACAAATAGTACTAGAGCCTGTGCACCTTTCATTCCCTCTGTCCGTGGATAGTAGAAGGTTACGCTACATACATCCTATCACCCGAATAAATCACTTAATACAACTGTCTCAACTTCGCCACCATCCATATAGCA